CTCAATTGAGTAATGGCAAAATTCTCCAAAATTTGTTTAATATTAGACCAAAATACATTCTTATTAGTGATAGTGAGAGCAATGCATTCACATGATTTTTATTGTTTGATCAAGACACACTTTTGAACATGTAGACTTATGTGTGTGATTCAAAGTGAAAGCAGGTCGAATTTTCCCATTATAACAATCAACTAATATATTTACCTTTAAAGTGAAAATCAATTTTAGAAGGAAAAAAAAACCAAATATTTGGAGAGATTTTCCAAAGTAGAACTCAAAACATAACTTTACAAAGGCACGTTTTAATTAAAATTTTCATTTCGCATTGTATTGTAAAAAGTTATATTAAAGCGACGTATATATCAAAATAGGAAAAATGAAAGTATATTATATTAAAACAATTATCAAAATTGACTGAATGATGCCTCATTTGACTTGCATAATTTAAGGCACTGACGAAATATATTCTATTAATAAAAGATTATAATGATCTCCTAGAGATTGGTGCATGCAAAAGCTATGCACCACCGTACCGCTACTATTTAAGCGTTTAAATTACTCTCAAATATCGAGTATATAAAAAATAACTTAAAATATTTTTCTGTATTTAAAATAAGTTAAACAACTCAGTTACGCCGACCAAACTTACATGAAGTATATTAAATTACTTCTTTTCACATGTCTTGTTATTTTCAAATAATTATTTTATTTATAATTTTCAATTAAGTCGAGCACGAACTGAATTTTAAAATACCTATATTTTTGGTCAAAACACAATTCAATATATTTAATAAATCGGAGGTAATGCAGAAATTCAAACGCCAAAAAAACAATAACGCGGAGCGGTGATTTTGTTTTTACTGTCAAACAGAGGCTAGAAGAGTGTGGGGGTAAAAAAGGTAAATAATAAATTGAACAGCGCACCTGACGGCGGAGTCCGGGAAGCGTTTGCAGGGCTGACGCTGGCGGAGGACGTGGAGATCTCCGCCGGGGCAGAACTCCGTGAGGAGGCACGACCACTTGGGCGAGTCAACGGCGGCGTAGAGCGTCGGCAGAAATGGGTGATCCAGCATTTCAAGGATCTCCTTCTCCGTCCTCGCCCGGCCCTCCTTGTTCCGGCCGGCGAGCTCCTTTCGGTCCATCACCTTCGCGGCGAAGAGCGCTGACGGAGGGGACTGCGGCGGCGGCGGCGGCTTCGGGGGCTCGGCCGGAGGCTGGGGAGGCTTGAGCTCCGCGAGGTAGACGGAGCCGATGTCGCCAGCGCCGAGGCGGTGGAGGAAGCGGAGGTCGGAGAGGGTGAGGGAAGGGAAGCGGCGAACGGAGTCCCGACAGGGGTCGCCGGAGGAGGGGGCGGCGGAGGGGGGGAAGTGGGCGGAGGAAGCGGTCCAGTCGGAGCCGGAGCTGGTGGAGCGGTGGATATCGGTTGCGGTGGTGGTGGTGGTGGAGTTGAAGCTCATGCTCTGGAGGTCGTCGGCGATTTCGTCCAGCCACGGCTCCATTTTTGCCGGGAGAGTGTGGATTCGACGGGGCCGGCGATGGTTCGATGGCGCGGTGGTGGTGGAGGTGAATTGGAGTGGTTTTGGGGGCGTGAGATGAGATATGTAGTGAGTTTAAGTGCTATATAAAGTAGAATAGAAGAAAGAGAAGTATTTATTTATTGGGCCGGAAAAGAAGGCTTGGGCAGCGTGGGGATTGTCTGTTTCTTGGGCATCGAGAGATTTTTTTTATTTTTAAAAATGTTTATTTTTTTTTCTTGAAATGATAACTGGGAGGAATTATAGGAGGGTTGCATTGGGCTCGAGATTTAATGGGTCTGTCTTCAAATCTACCACCTAAATTCACACGGTTACAAGTTACAAATATTATTATTGAACTCACCAATGTAAAAAAAAACATCTCTCTCTAAAAACTCAAAATCCCAAATCTCCACTTTCGTGCGCGTTCTCGCCCTTCTTCTTTCTGCGCGCCTCCCCCAGCAGGCTCCAAAGCTCTTTGGGGTCGACGTCATCTGGCTCAGCAGCGTTGCTCCAGTCAGGGGTTGGTCTCCTTACACTTGTGTGGGCTTCTGTTGGTTACGAGCGGCCATGGCAGGCTGGCGGAGGGAGCTTCCGCCTGAGAGTAGGCAGCATCGCCGGCTCCGACTGTCGTCTGGTGTTGGCCAGAGCAGAGACCGGCGGTCTCTCCTCCCTCGTGTCTTGTCCTTGCTTCTGGTGTTGGGGGATAAGGTGTTTCGACGGCGGTGTTGGGTTGCGACTGCGGTCGTGCTGGTGGGTGTCGCTGGTTGGTGTGGAGGGAGGGGATGGCTGTGGGTCTTCGGTCGCTGCATCAATTGTGGTTTTTCAAGAAGGTTGTTGGTCTAATTTGGTAAGGTCTAGTTAGCCGTCGTGGGAGTTTCGAGATCTGTCCTAGGCTCTCGATCGGTCCCCTTATTTGATTGCCTTCAGGTGCGGGCTCTTCAGGTGATGTGTCGGGGTTCATTTTCGGCTGGCAGCTAGGGCTCTTTATTTTGTTTTCTTTCCTTTTAGGAGTTCTTTTGTTCTGGGTTGTGCTTGTGTTTGTAGGTTGTTGGTTGTTGTTTGGCTTTTCTTTCCCTTTGTTGGGTAGCAGTATTCTCCACTTGTGGGAGTTAGGTTTTTCTCCCCTTTGGGAGTTAGGTTTTCTATCCTGTGGGAGCTAGTTTTTNAGTGTAGTGTTTTCTAGGCTGCAATTGTCATCGACTTGTATGTCTCTCTCTGATTCGGTTGTATAGCTGATTCAAGATTGTAATTATGTGTTATGTTTATAAAACTCTCTATCGTTTCGGGAAAAAAACTCACCAATGTATTTTCTCTCTTCGCGTTTCCCAAAATCCGCACACAAAAACCTAGCTTCAGATCGTTGTCGGCCTCCTCCCCAGTGGGGATTTTCGTGCCATCGTGATGTTGTCTGCTTCTGGACCATGCTATCGGGCTTCCATAGCATCTCGTTGTTGTATTGTCGGTTGGCTCTCTGTTTCTCGAGGAAGTTTAGGTGGTGTGCTTCGATTACTACCTTGCGGTGGTCAGAGTTGAGGTTAGATCCTCCTTCCTCCTGTTCTTTTGCTTCCTTAGCATTGGGAGATAGGTTTTCGTGGCCCCGTTGACCGTCGCCATGGGCTGCTAGTTCGCGTAAGGGTTGGAGTCGGCGTTGTTCTTCTCTCCCCTATTTTTTCCATTGTCCCTAGGGTTCGGCGGAGGGCTGCGTCGGTGGTGTGGGTGTTGGCATTTATGAGGATCGCTGCCAATGTGCAAGTTACAAATTTATCTACGAAATAACCTATGCGCAATGGATCTATAGGTAAATGTAGAAGACTTACGGTTTAATAATTTGTCGACTCTGAAACGTTGTAGATTTTCGTTGTTGGAGATCGTCTGAACCTCAGAGTTTTTTGGGCAGTCGGTCGTGGCCTTCTCGGATTGTCGCGGGTCGCGTGCGTGTGACCTGGAGCAGGCAAGTCACAATCGGCACTGGGAAGAACGTCTCGAGTCATCTGGGCCTCGAGCAGGTCGGGGGAACCTCGCAGGTGCATGGAGTCGCGGAATTTTCGCGGGTTGCGTCGCTAGAAGCGAGCAGGTCATGTCATCTGGGTGATGCAAGAGAGAGGGTCGCGTCTGGTGGTCGCCGGTGGTCTCAAGTTGTCTCGCGGCAGTGCTGGGAAGGTGATGGTACACAACAAATACATTTATTGGTCCATATCAATAAACCTCACCTTGATGATTCCAAGTAGTAATCACTATATACATGTGTTTGTTTATATCTTACGGGTTAAGAGAACGCAATAATTATCCGAGGCTTAGTTTGTTTACTATGATCAGTATAAAACGAACTGCTCCTTTCTGGGATCCAATCAATACACCAATATATACTAGTATGACTAATCAGTCAAGATCGACTGTCACACTACAACCGTTCCGACGGCTTATTCAATTTTCATCTGGGTTGTGAGTCAAGTGTTTATGTTTCGCAAGTAACCGATAAATAATCTTTTATCCATCCGTGATGAGCTATTAATCTAAATGAAAAGCAATAAAACATATAACTTTATTTAATCAAACATGAATTCTCATTCAACATAAATAGTGTGAATAAAATTTAAAATCAAGCTTTCGGTATACACATAAACAATCTCCCACTTATACTTAAAGCTTGTGTTTTTCTAGTATAAATCTTTCAAACCTTACTCTAAAAAACCTATGTCGATCCTGGCACCACACATCTGACTCTCATTCCTTCCACATGTCTGGCGAAGACTTTTCCCGACAGACTCTTCGTGAAAGGATCATCTAGGTTATCCTCCGATGCAATCTTGGCAACCTCGACATTTCCTCTCCCTACGATCTCTTGTATTATGTGGTATTTGTGCTCTATGTATTTACTAGCCTTGTGGGCTCGTGGTTCCCTCGAGTTTGCAATTGCACCACTGTTATCACAATAAATTGTGATAGTCTGTGGTAAACTCGGAATCACTTCTAAGTCCAAAAAGTTTTCTGAGTCATATTGTCTTTTTTGCTGCTTCATTAAATTCCTCTAAATTTTCCTTTTAACATCTTCTAATGAGATTTGTTCTTCGACCTTATTTCTAGTTGCACGCTCTTGTCTAGGCTTGTCTTAAGGATCTGAATGATCTTCATGGCTTGAATTTCTACTCTGAGTTAGAGGAATGCTCCTCTATATTTCCTTTTATCCTTCACTTTAGGTGTCGTCTTTCTTCATCACCATACTTGTTGCAAATTTGATCGGCATTCTTCTGTAAAATGCTTCTCGTAGCCTTTGGACAATGATCTTATGATCACATAAAGTTGTGAAAATAAGTCTTCTTGTCTCATTTTCTTGAGCAAATCATTTGAATGTTTGTAGGAAGTGATTTCCCAGCAAAACATTTGTTCTCGTATTGTGATAATATAGGGTTTAATGCACCAAATCCCCCTGTATTATACGAAATATGCGTGTTTTCCCCTGGTATTTTAAAAATTGCGTTAGACCCCCTTATATTTAACTACCAGCTGCACACGCTCCCTTTTTTTCATTTTTCATTTAACGGCGTTAGTTTTTTTTCAAAAGTCTCGTTATACCCTCTGAATATTATATATATATATTTATGATAAATTGAATTTATCGCGATATATTGAATATATCGTGAGAAATTAAAGGGTTTAATGCACCAAACTCCTCTGTATTATCATAAATCTGCGTCTTTCCCCTCTCTAATTCAAAAATTGCGTCAGTCCCCTTCTATTAAGGGTTGACGAGCTGACGCTCCCCAAGTTACGTTTGAGTGTTNTGGTTTATTTTAACTTTATTTATTTATTAATTTTATTTTTGTGTTTATTTTTTCTCATTTAAAATTTATTTAATTTTAGTTCACGCTACTATATTAAATTTTATCTTACGTTATTTTAATTTAAATTTTTTCATTATTTTAAGTTAATTTATTTTATTGGAAGTTATTAGTATTATTATTATTAATAATTATTTAATTTATAGTAAATTGATGTATAGATATATTTATGTTCAATAGATTACACATCCATCCATATGGCCTAATGGTTGAGCGGCCATTCCTTTCCTTTCCAACCCAGGTTTGAATCCTGTTTCCCACATTTCATATCATTTAGGTTTTGCACATAATTCAAGGGTAAAACAGTAATTTTCGCCATTTTGGGGTGAAAAAATAAAGAAAAAGCCGCACAGCACGCGCAGGCACACCACTTCCGTCATCTTAGACGGTTTAGAGTGCTTCGCGCATGCAAAACTACATTACAAAGGGGTCTGATGCAATTTTTAAAATACAAGGGGAAAACGCACAGATTTAGTATAATACAGGGGAATTTGGTGCATTAAACCCTGATAATATATTGGTGGAGTTTTGATTTTGTACCATAGGGTGTCCCCTGCTTCTCCAATCATAATTTCAACTTGTTTAATTCCTCTCTTCAGGATGAGATTTCTTTTAGGCTACGTTTGTTTTGAAGGATTTGAAATCCCTTGATTTCAAAATTTTTGAAATATAAATTTTTACTTGCACACTTCTTGTATGGATGTGCTGGAAATATTATAAAATAATTGTCTAGCTCGCACCAATGGTGTTGACTCGCGGTGGTGATAAACCTAAATGATCCCAAACGGCGTGCTCGTCAACGGTGATAAACAGTGTATTTCAAATGACTAGGTTTGATGAGTCATTTAAAATCCTTCAAAATAATGAATAAAAAATATCTAGCATGAATTTGAAATCCTCTAATTCCATTACCATTCCAACATGTGCATGGAGATTTGAACTTGTAAATTTAAAATTTATAGATTTCAAATCCCTCAATAAATCATTAAATCCAAACGTAGTCTTAGAGAAATCTCTTTCTGCTATAGGGGTTTGGTCTTCCCCCATTTCTTCTAGAAATACTCCTAGTTTTAGAGAAATCTCTTTCTACTATAGTGATTCATATATAAGTAAAATAACTTATAACTATATTATTTCTTTATACGAATGATCAGATTTGTAAAATGTGATTATACAACTTATGATTATAAATATATTATCCATGCATATGACTTATAATATTATGTTTGTATATGTGCATTTGCACAAGATTGAGTAATAGTATTATAATTTTTTTTTAAAAAAAAAAAACCATTCATATATATATTCATATAATACTACATACCAATTATTTTCAAATATTATTTAAATGTTCTTATAACATTCAACTTTAATTATTTTTTTTTAGGCATTGATATATATGATATATTCTTGTTGATCAATTATTGGTGATTGTTATCTAAATATTTTTTATATCACTTCTATTTTTGTTGTTGTATTTTATTTTTAATTCAATTCATAATAAAAAATCCCTTCTTCTACAAAATTTTATTTTCCACTGTTCTATTTTATTGTGAGGTGAAACATATATTTGTTTAGGCCTCGTTTACTTTTAGGGATGGGATTGGACACATTAATCACATCCACTTTCCACGTCAGCACAAATCCCATGTTTACTTCTAGATATAGATTTTAATGCAATTCTTGATAATTTTATCTATTGTGAATTAAAAGACAAATACACCCTCCCTCATCCAATACACAATATCCAATCCCATTCCTTCTTCAACGAGCATCTGTGATTCTTTTTTTCCCAATTTCAATACCCATTCCACAAATCTGTTCGCCAGAAATCCGTTGACCACTTGGCCAGATAATTGGTCGCGTGTGAACAGTAGGGCGACGTACGGCGACCACACCGAGTCGAGCCGTATCAGTCGGGCCTAAATCGGTTGTGCCCTAATCCGAAGAACGTCAAGTTCAAGTTGAATTCAGAGATAGAGGCAAAGACGACGGGTAAGTTTATCTCAAACATAAAAGGAGAGTATGTTATTCTGAAAATATGGTTTACCTCCAAAATTCAAAACAGAATTCAACATAATCATCTTCTCCATCATCTCTCTCTACATCCATGTCCTACTCTTCGCCGCAGCTGTAATAATCATCCTCTTCTTCAACGGACGCTACCTCATCGGCGTCGTGCATATCGTCCTCAGACTCCATTACAGTCGCCTATTCGCGATTCGGCAGATCCCCCAGGAAAAAAAAAATAAATAAATAAATAAACTAGAAGGAAAAAAATGGGTGAAAAATAAAGAATTTGGTGCGGCAACAAATTATGAAGATCAAAACATGGATTTCCACTCAGGACTTGGGACTGTTACAGAGATGTGATCATCAAAATGAGAAAGTAATTAGACTTGGGAAGACGATGATTAGGTAAAAACTCAACACAGTATTTAATATTTAAATGATAGGTTATTGTAATTAAATGGATGTTGAGGGGTAATTTCGTCTATTTACATACAATTTTGAGGACAAAAAAGTCATGAACAGTGCAAGATAAAAATATCACGGGGTCTGGGCGGGACAGAAATAATCGGGCAACAAAGGATTTCATTGTGGGTCCCACTGCCACATATGATTCCACATCAGTTAGTTCTGTCCCAATCAATTAATGTAAACATCGAATATTGAGAGACAATTTACGTTATCTCATCCTATCAACCGAAGTAAACGAGGCCTTAAAAAAAAGTCTATATCCAATAGCAGAATATCGCCATTAAATTTTTTCTCATAGGAGAGACAACAAACCTCTCAATGAGGGCCTTACACTTACACACAACAGCAACAGTCTTAACCCCAAAATTACCAATCTGCCACTACCCTTCTCTTCTCTCCCCCAAACCTCAACCATTTCTCAAGAGCAAAACTTCAAATACACACATAAAAATAGCTATACAATCAAAACCCACAATGATAATTGCATCATCAATGGCGGACGACAGAATACAGACCGACAAACCATTTTCTGTGCTGTTTGTCTGCCTCGGAAACATCTGCAGAAGCCCAGCTGCTGAAGGTGTCTTCAGGCATCTTGTTAAGGATAAGGGTCTCGATTCTAAGTTCTACATTGACTCTGCTGGCACGATTAATTACCATGAGGTAATAAATATCGTTTATTGTACCTTCTTTACCCCAAATGCTGTAAAAGAATCAGCAATATCCAATCTGTGCCGTATATTTAAATTTAGCTATAGTTAATCTTGCGACTATTTGTTTAGCTATCTTTCGTTTGTGGCATATTATTCTCTGTTTCTAGGGATGTTAGATTAACATGTTGATCCATGGTCGTGATAATAATTGGATTGCTGAGACTTGGATTTTTCATGAATTGATGTTGTATTCGATTTTTTTTTTTTTCTTGTTTAATAAATGAATGAAGGGTGATCAAGCGGATCCAAGAATGAGGGCAGCTTCCAAAAGGCGTGGAATTGAGATAACTTCACTGTCAAGGCCAATAAGGCCGTCCGATTTCAGGGACTTTGATCTTATTCTGGCAATGGATAGGAAAAATAGAGGTAATATTAATGTATTAGAAGCTCAAAAATCAATTACTCAAAGTTCTTGCATTTAGTGGCAGTTGATAATTTCTTCCTTTTGGATTGTTCACCATTTTTGTGTTCAGCGGTGGATGTTACAATAGTAAAATATAGGACACTACTAAGGTGTAGTCTAATTGTGTAAAGTTCCAATATTGTTTCAACTTTCAAACACACAAAACACCCCCATAACTTGCATTTAGTTAATGATATCTATCGAGAACGCAATTTGTAAAGTAGAAACCTATATTTAGGGGCAATTTGTAATTCAGAAAACACAATTTTCCCTTTTAGTTTTCTTCTTCTTTTATTTTTGTGTGTTCGAATTGTGTTGTGTAGAGGATATACTGGATGCATTTGAGAGGTGGAGGCACAAAGAACCCTTGCCTGCCAATGCAGATAAGAAGGTTAGTAAAATTGGTGGACTATGTTCAAATGCTGAATATGCTATACATATGAATTTATTTTCCCTTCTTTTCCCTTTTTCTTAAGAATTGAATTAAATAATGATATTGCAGGTCCAGTTAATGTGCTCTTACTGCAAGAAGCATGATGAAACTGAGGTGCCCGACCCCTATTATGGCGGACCCAAAGGTTTCGAGAAGGTAAAACGAGTGTATCTCTCTCTTTGTATGGTTATTTATCAATAAATATTCTTTCTTTGGAAACATTGGCCTGAACTTATTTTGGCTTGTAGTTTTTCAGCTAACCAACTTTATGGAGACTGCAGTGATCTTTACCGTATTTGTTTATGATTGTACACTAGCCGTAGTCTGGGAATGGATCAAATTGAACCACACCTTGTTTGTATATAAGTCTATCTTGAATCAGTTTTAATATGGTCATTCTAGGACATATGATAGATGGCCTTATACTGTGGCAATGGTTATTCTAATGTTGAGGTAGTGGATTATGAAGAACCTATTTATTGTTGGATTGTTTTCATACTTGGATAAAACTATAGGGAAGAAGAAAAAAAATGGAAAAGAAATAAAAACTTTGGTAGTTTCATGATAGAGAACGTCTTGCTAGTAATTAGAATATCATCATTGCTGATGTATTAATTTTTTGAACTGTATCATACGAGATGTGTTCTCTGTTATTTGGATAATTAAGGGCAATCATTTGAGTTTTCTTATGTTCACATGCGTATTTGCTCGAATGTAGTGGTCGAGAGTAAACATGTCCAAGTATTGTTTTAAATTGGAAAACTGGTTGGGGAAGTAATTAGAACAAATTTTAAGTGTAAGTGCAAAGCTTTTCTTGTTTTAATATCCACATATGTACAGATTGAAGCCTGGAAAACATGGATCTGGATTGTCTAGTTTTTAGTTTCATCTCTCATATATCTGCAGGCTTATAAAAGCTGAACTTGTGGTTGTATTTCTTATAGGTCCTGGATTTACTTGAAGACGCATGCGAGTCGTTATTGGAGAATATTGTGGCTGAGAAGCTGTAGTATTTCGACTTCTTGCCAAATCTGTATTTTGATGAACAGAACGGAACACTTTGAAGGAAACATTTCCCCATTACGTTATTCCTCTACCCTGAAGACCAACCCTCAACATTTATATTCTCTTGAAGCTTAAAATTATTGGGAATTTAGAAGCGTTTATCAGACTTCCAAACATACACTTATATTCTCTTGAAGCTTAAAATTATTGGTAATTTAGAATCGTTTAACTTCAAACTTTCAAATATGCACAAAGTTTAATTTTGCCAATTTCATATGTAACTCCTAATGCTTCGGCTAAGTCTATGAATAGGCCTTATTAGTGTTACAAAGCTGACTAGTGTGGATATGTGTCATATAAGCAATAATGCAGCAGCTCATAGCACAAGTAAAAATGCGTCTCATTGAAATTTAAGACAACAAAATAGGTGAGATAAAATAAAACAAAACAAAACAAAACAAAAAAGAAGAAATTTTTTACGAATTCACCGAGTTTTCCAAGGCAAGAGAGACGATTTAGAACATCTACCTGGAGACCCAAGTGGAAGCAGCACATGCAAGTAAATAGAACGCACCCAGCTAAAAAGGGGAACCTGCAAAACAAGTTACTTTTCCCTGCAATTTATCCAATGCAAAATATCCCCCCATCAAGGCCATGGGCAACGGAGAATATAGAAGATTATATTACCTCTGTTATTTATAACTTGTGTCAGAAGAACATTGACAAAACACGAGGAATTTCAAGCCACAGAGCTACACAAAACTATCCCAAAAATCAAAAACACAAAATCCAGCTACATGCAGCTACAACCATCCATCGATAATTCACATCACCATCATATTGATGTGCAGCATCAACCGAAATACAAAATAACACAACAAACAAAAGAGAAAAGAAAAAAAGAAACAAAAAGAAAGCAGCTAAAACAACCAACTCTTTCCAATTTGCTGTTGAAATCGTCAATTTTCTCCCCCAGTGGCTAAAGGGATGTTGTTCACGATGTTCAGGATCTCATTTTTACTCCTCAAAACACACCGTTTCTTGGTGTCAAAGTCGAGTTTGTCGAGATCCTCCACAATTCCCAGGTAGCCATACAGAAAATCTTCCTCTCTATTGGTTGATGGTACATGTGCCGACATTTGGTTATCAGATTTTAACTGATTCAGTTCGTCTCTGCCATGCTTGGACTCGAGGTATCGCTTGTGGTACCTATCTGCCTCTTGTAATCCAGAGAGTGTACCATTGAACTTAACCAGCACTACACTTTGGTTCGCAGGTTTTCCATTGCACACCTTAACAATGCTTGCGAAACCCATATCTAATTACAAAACCCAAAAAGAAATAAATGCTTCAAATTACAAACTTACCCGTTTAGATATTGCAAATTTCACTTATAGTTATCTTATATTCTTAACATACTCTAACATGAGTGTAATATGTAAAACATAACGAAACAACAAAGGGGTGCATTTGTAGTTAACCTGAACTTTGAGAGAAGTTTCTTGTGAGATAATTCAAAATTTTTAAGAAGAAGAAAAGGCTTAATATAGTAACCAACTAATAATTTTGAAGCATTTAAATTCTTTAAAAAGGATAAGAAGAAGAAACAATAAGATCCTAGTTTCAGTTTGACATGAGATGTTTGGTTACAGGATACACAACCAGACAACTTGAACTTAATATTCGAGCAATGATTGTTCATGGGCTACTAACAATCCACAGAGAATACAGGAACTATAATTAGGTGTCAAAAAGGATCAATACAACTGCATAAAGTTGAGTCACTAATGACAAATAGTGGTATTTGGCAATGCAATGTCATTTCATTGAAGTTTCAAAATAGAACCACTGCATTAATAAATAAATGCAACAATGAATATATGAATGAAGCAAAAATTAAAACTTTGAACCCATAAGCTATTATTATATTCAAACCAAAAAATAAGACGAGTCACAAAAAAGAACCTGATAAAAAAATTACCTCTGAGCTGCACATCCAGCTTCTCAGGAGATACAATAATCCGTCCATCAGGATTCTTGTTATCTATGGTGCTGTTATACACAATTACAACAGGTGGCCAAATAATGAGGTCTTCTTTAAGAGCTGAAGACTCCGCACTGGACATTACCTCACAAACCCATTGACTGCTGGGCTGCTCTGAAGTCTTCCAACCCATGAGTGCACAGAGTGCTCTGTGCAAGCCCAAATGCTGAGATCTAAGACCCACCTTTTCGGACGAGACGGCATGTCTTGCCAAACTTTCCGTCTCTGCAAACTCGTCCGAGTTGCTGTAACAACACTCAACCAATGAGAAACTATAACTTGTATGTTAAGAAGAATATATTAGACACAACCAACAACTTTCGAGATTTTTAGTATCCTAGGAGCAGATGAGACTGAAAAAAAAATATTATATCAACAAATAAATACCAAATCCTTCAATACAGTACTTGCAAATATCTTCTGTAACGCAAGGATTATCGATAGCATAAGAGCTAAACATGAACTTATTAAGGCATGCGATAAAAAGCATGGACTTGCCAACATCACAAATGAGGGTGAAACCCCGTTCTCGTGGATAAGACATAATATTAAAGGGCCAAGAAGTTCAGATATAGGTCAACTCCATCAAAAGAAGTGTCTTAACTAGACACCTTTCCAACCAATGACAGGTGTCCGTTGCTTGAGGGAAATATAACATCAATATCTCAAGAATCATATAATCTATATAAGGAGGAGATGCAGATTATCAGATATAACCAAAGTTCGAATATATATGATCTCCTAGGTCATATACTTCCAGAACACAGATCCCATGTACGTGTAGATGTGTAAAGGGTAACAAGAAAATGATTCAGTGCCCAACGAAACTTTGATGAAATGAGCACAATGGCAATGCTGAATTGTATGATCTTTCTGAATGTAGTTGATAGCATTAGCAGCAGCCAATTTCTGATATTGCTTCAGCACACTAGTTCTGCCACCCATACACCCGTTAAGAACTCCGTGCAGAAACCAGAGACACATTTCCTCAATCCTCCCTCACCTTATCCAAATCTCTTTAGTTCAACTTCAACAAGTAATCCCAAATCCCATTTTCCTAAATAACAAGATGTTTAGATATACCTAGAGAATCATTCTAGATATGAATAAAACTTATATAGACAAGCAAATACAGTAACCAGCAGGACCTCTGATAACCAACCCAGCTGCAAGAACCTCTCAGAAATACGACTACAAAAAGGAGTGCCTAGACAAAATCAAATTATGAATTTTGCACTTTCCACCGCCAAATAATGCAAGCATTGGATCACTTCCAGTGATTTCCTATTGGGTTGGATGACATCAAAATTTAACAAATTCAGGGCATCACCACACATGCTGACTGAAGCTCGGTAGAATGATCTCGCATGAAGAAATTACATGAGAGCAGTAAATACTTACCTGAGTGCTGTAAAAATAATTAAGGAAGCAGAGTGAAAAAATGGGCAGAAAGATATTTTGTTCCACCTATGATAACAACTTCATGATGTAGAACACAGACCTGCCACATACAATGCACTTTAAACTACCAGCTTTCCCATGCTCCAGGTACTTTTTCCTTTTCCCAGGCATCTCATTAATTTGTTTGAGATACTTGAAAAATGCATTTTGCACCAGCTGTTTGAAATCCTCCGACTCCTCCGGTGGTTCAGGCTTTGGGTGAATAATATGATCTCCCAAGAGGTCTTCATCTCGAGTGCGAGGACTTCCATCTGAATCTTGAATGCTTTTCGGAAATTGAGAACTTCGACTTTTTACTATTGCAGTAGGACCATGTTTCTTTGTTGGAGCAGGTGCCAACCGCTTCATCACTGATGGTTTATGTTTTTTAAATAAACGCTGTGAAACATGAAGCTTATGTGGAACTGGCCCTAGTCTCTTCTTTATATCTCCAGAACCAGATTTACGTGGGTGAGACCTTGAAGAAGTTGGCCGACTATTGGCTATATTGGAAAACCCCTGCCGTGATTCCTCATAGTTAGCTCTGCTTGATCTGGGTTTCTTAGAATAATTTGCAAAACCAATTTCATCTCCCATTTTTTCTCGATTGTATATCTTCCTTGCACCATTCCCATCAGCAGAAATTCTAATCCCGACATCCTGCTCGTAAATCTCGTCCCTACCATGTTTATTTCTCAATCTTCTCCTATAGGTTTCGTCCAGGTCTACATCCTCCAAACCTAAATTCTTGCTAGGGCTATCGTAAAATCTGCCAAACGAAGGGTCATGTGACTCATATCCACTTGATAGTAAACTATCTAATCTTTCATCATGAGACCACTCACCAACATCCATTCTAGAATGATGATGACAACGATCATCCTTTTCAACACTGACATATTCACGATATCCATCGTCAATGTCATAATCGAGGCGAGAGCTTCCGGCACCCAACATGTCAGTGATGTCACACTCTTGCTTTCTTGCATGAACTGATCTGCTTGCATCAAATCTATCATCAGGCATTGACCGCACCTTAGAAAATGAATATGGACCCCATTGTCCATCATCCCTCATAGGTGGTTTCATACGAGGGCATTCATCAACTGCAGGGTTAAAAGCAACATTTCTTGACACATGGTGATCTCTATAATTCTCTTCAACGTCATTATGTCTTGTACTCGTGCTGCCTATTTTGCTTCTGCCAAATTCAGAAAACAAACCACTGTCTTGCTTTTCCTGGGGCAGCCTATATAACCTTGAAGTGCTCCTAGTATCATCAAACTGACTTCCAGTGTATCCATCAAAACCAATGGGCTGGGAAGTCAAACCACTACCTTTTTGGCTCAATTTTGAAGGCATATCGAGGTCTCTAGAAGGACAGCAGCCTGGAAAACCCTCCATAGTGCCCGGCGACACTAAAATGTATTCCTTAGAATGGGTATAATCTCCTTTCAAATGACCCTGCGAAGACAGGAGGCTGTTCCCTTTCTTGAAACCATAACTTTCCTCTCTTGCCCTTTCGTCTACACCCAGAGACCCATCCTGGTAAAGGAAAAAGGCCCTTTTCTTTTCACTTAGATGGTCTTCTTCATCGCGCAAGCTCACGTTTCTTTTCTCCAACTGTCGTTTGTCCTCCAAATGTGCACACCCAAGTTTGCTGGTACCGGCATTCAAGTAAGATGACGACACAGAAGGCCTGTGATCACTGACATCAGCACCACCCAGATTGCTCGCGTGCACGACACCATCAACACCACCATGACCCAAAGCAAATGAGGGCTTGGCATTATCCATACATTGCGGATAGTAATCCCTCTCTCGAACCCTGATATAGTCAGGTGTCCTGCCATAATCATTCACACTCAAATAATCGGGTTTTCTTGGACCATCCAAAATATGATCCCATGGATAGGAGCCCTCATCATATGATCTCATCAAATGCCCAATGTGGGCCCCATCTTTATAAGTTTTGCCAGCAGCAGCAGCAGCATCATAGTCTGGCAGTCTCATATTTCGTGATGTATCGTTATCCCTCTTGAATTCGTCCCTTCTCTCAAATTCTTGGGGGCTCCTAATTCTGAGAGGGCTCCTCTTGAGCCACCTGTCACCTGCAGCATACTTATCCCTATCTCGATGGACATATTCAGGAGACCTTGGAGAATATGATCTAAACTCTCGATTGGTATCATCCCTCTTTTCTATCCTCCGAGATGTTCGTGGCCCACCAAAATACTCTTCCTTCGCACGAGGGGCGTAAGAGGGATAATTCCGAGGCCTTGAAGGGCTCAAATCGCGAGGCCTTGGAGGGCTCAAATCGCGATGCCTTGGCGGCGGACGCCGAGGGGACGGAGATCGGCCACGAGACCGCAATCTGTACCTCCTTTCAGACATGTTTTTCCAGTATATCGATCAGCAACTAATCGTTCTTTAGCGATATCCGATTCAAATAAAATCAACACAAATACCTAACACCTAGAAGACGCTGAAACCGATAAACGTAATTCCCAAAAAGGAAACTGGAAGCAAAAACAAACGCCGGAACCGTACCCTCAAAGCCAAAGCATTCAGCGGCAACACGTCGCATTAGCTATTGTAACATTTGCATCGGATAACGAAAAACCAACCTTTCATATGAACTCTTGATCCAGTCTATAGGTCGGATTAGGTTTCTAGGTGCTTCGCACAGTCACTCGATCAATTGTATCATTTCTAGAGTCTAGAGTGTAGAGATTGTTAAGATGACAAATTTGATAAAAGTATTTTCATACTCAAAATATATTAATATTAACATCCATAAATATAAATAAAATATTAATACTTTGGTGAACGAAATTTGTATACAAAATATTTATTCCTATTACTTTTATGTATACTTAGATTTTTTAAAAAATAAGTAAATTAATAATTTTATTAATTAATGAACGTAATTACATAATTTAAATAAAGACGGTCAAATTTTTAAAAACTTGATAAAGAGTTCAACTAATAGGGAATAATAAATATATGATAAAATATTTTCAAAATATTAAAAACAAGGGCAAAAAATTAAAAGAAAAATGGTAATATATATAAACATTACAAAATTATAAAAACCATTTAAGAAGAAAAATAGTAAGATACATAAACATTACAAAAATTATAAAAATAATTACGTATTTGGAAATTTGTAATTAATGATATTGAAATCAAATTTCAAACACTATCTAAAAAAATGAAACAATATTTTTTTTATAAAAAATGATATTGAATCAATTTTATAACATTATCCACAATAATAGAAAAAAATCTATGTTCACAAAAGATCTGAATGGAATAAAAAAAAAAATAGTTACTTTGACTAATTTTTAACTAACCCCTGTAAAGAAGGAAATAAAATGTACTTGTTTTCATTTAAAATTTCAAAATTTAATATTTTCAAAATTTCTAAATGTAGTAAACTTGAAATGTTTAGGTGGAATTTTATCTAATATTTAAGGTAAATAATTGGCGTTATCTATCTATTATTATATAACTAGTACAGTACCCGTGCAATGCACGGGGTTTATGTTTGAGCAAATTTAATTTAAAAAATCATATCAAAAACTATAAAAATAATAAATAAAGATTATATTCGATCGTAAAATTAATATAAAAATAATTTCAATAAGATAAAAAACGTATTATTTTGGCCTTGTTTTGTAGATAGCGGATTGAAGATAAATTAGCGGATTGGACTTAATTGAGAGGTTTGACCCGTCAAATCCGCTATTGAGCTTGTTTGGTAAATAGCTTATTTGATAAGCCTTTTGGGCCCAAAACTCTAATTTAGAAAAAGTTCATTAGAGCAGTGGGATAGAGGATTCACAAAAAATCATTTACTTTGAACTTTTTAATTTGTCTTATTTATTTTACAATCTACATTGGTTTATGGTGCTAATAAATAATAATATGTCATCCATATGATTAATTTATCTAGAAAAATGTAAAATTCATAACTTCTTCATCAAGTGTTAGTAAATTTTTTAAAAAATATATATATTTATAAATTACCAACTAAAGAATATTAAATATTTTAATATATTATTATTAAAAGAATACTCCCTAAATAATAAAATGTCATTATTGGTCATTTTGCAACGTCAAACAGCTATAAGCTTTCAGCTATTTACCAAACACTTATTTAAAAACCGCTAATGCAATCCGCTGGTCAAATCAGCTAATATAATTCACTATCCGCGATCCGCTGATACAATCCGCTATCCGATAATCGCCAAACAAGGTCTTTAACTTCAACTAATTAAAAGGCCAAGGCTAGTGCGCCAACTTTATAATGGCAACTTTAAGGAAAAAAATTTAAAACCGTAAAAAAATGAAAACAAAATTATAATTGCAACTCAAAGGAAACTAATATTACCTCATCACACTCATATAGAGAATCAACAGAACTAACAACGACGTCACCGTCATCAAGTTCTTGTATTTCGGTCTTGACAATGATTGAGCTACTGGACATCAATTTGGTATCCTTAATTTTACCCGATGCCATCCTTGCTAGATAATAACATAAATAAATGTTCAAATCTAAGTTGAGGAGATATAGTTACCCATGGAAAAATGTTTATAAGAGAACAAAACATTTGTACCTCCTTTGAAAATCTTGTATTTCAGGAACATCAACACCGATGAGTAGGATCACATCTTTTGATGTGCTTATTTGAACTTCACCTGTTAAAGAATATATTGGATTAGCCAATTAAAAAAATGGTCGATTTAATTATTGAGTTTGATTACATAAAAATAATGGATTACCTCTCCACTCCTTCGCACGACACATTTGCATGATGTACATAAAAATAATGGATTACCTCTCCACTCCTTCGCACGACACATTTGCATGATGAGGACACAAGGTGCTTCTTCATTTTGGTAATGATGTTCTTAAGCAATCAACTGGTCAACATATTGCCCCAAAGCGTGCATTTTTTGATGTTTCTCCTACATAATGTCGAAAAAATTTATAAAGACATTGCGAAAATATTTTTCAAACAATGATCATATAATTTTTTTAATATCATTGCATGTGATGAAAAATAAAATAGAAACAATTATTATATAAAATGATAGAAAAAAAGTATATAAATTGATAGAAAAAAAAAAGTATATTTACACCTTGATAAGATTTAAATTAAATATAAAATCTATGTCACACAATAAATATGATGATATTTAATATAGAATATAAAATGATATTTAATTTTGAATACAAAATCAATCTATAATTTATCTTAATATAAATATAATCATACAACAAAGTTAATGAATAGTTCTATATATAACAATTTTATTTTATATAAAAATTTATACACATTGATTCATTTTCATATTTATCTAACTATTATTAAATTTATGGTGTATAATAATTTCATATTATATCGTCGGTCCAAATAAAATTAGACCAAATAATGATGTTGAATCCAACACAAAAATAATACGACTTTAATATGTTCGTCATTTTCATCTCATATCCAAATTATACATTTTAATGCGAATATTAAATATCTCATATTTATCAAATATATATATATATATATATATGTATTTAAAAAGTATGGCGATTCATATATTTGATTTTATCATGATATATCATTTGTTAGATGTTATTGATTTGATTGGGGACATTCATTCTATTCAAATAATATATAATTTCATATTTTGTATTTATTTATTGCAATAATGAAATATTAAATAAAAATAATTATGTTTAAAATAAAGGTTTAAGAAAGATATTAAGTAATCGCACGGAATGCACACTTGTTATATAATAGATGTGGTCGAATTAGAGCTCGTTTGTTTGTGTGATCCTATTATTTCTCTTACCCCTCTCTCTTTTCGTTGTTACTTGTTGGGTAATAATATTAAGCAACAATTTACTACAAATTTTTAGGAGCCACCACCAACTAAAAAAGTCAGTGCTCATCACTGATCAATCCTTATGTTGCTTAGAGAGTGAAGGCAGTTGTAAAAAACCAAAAAATCCTAATGTTTCCTAGAGATAATGAGAAATTGTTATTATTATTTTTTTTTAAGAAACAAAAAAAGGACGATTCTAAGGTTCTATCAAAGAAACAAACCCAAAACCAGATTAATTTTAAAGAGTTTCAGAACAGAGATGACCAAATGGCATTACCAAAACAAGTGTCCTCAGACCATCCTAAGTACCAAAACAACAAAAATCACACAATCCATCGGTATTCTTACCTTAACTTTCACACACTCCCAAAAACATGCAATGCGTACAGTCACGAAACGAGTTCCCAAGCTTTATGCATAATGTCATCATCCACAAACGGCCTTAAAGACCAGATCTTGCAATACGTCTCCAGCTCCCCAGACAACAAAGACTCGTAGCTTAAAGAGGACACTATTCGAACTTGCATTGCATAATCTTGTCTCACCATACTGTACACGAAAGCCATCATGGCAGCAAAATCAGCAACTTCCAATTTCGTAATTTTCTCTCCATCGCTCAAAGTAAAAACAGGATCCGAATCGCAACTCAAATCATCCAGAAGGCCTTTGAGTTCATTCACAACAATTTTAGCTCTATCAATATGATCCTCAAGTCCAAGATGGCACTTGTGCAGCTTGCTCACATTTTGTACACAGTTGTGACAGTTGACATATCCAGATTCCACGTAGGACAAAATTCTTCTTGAGTCGTGAGCTTTAATAATGCGCTCGACCAGTTTTGATGTCTTGTTAATGGACGGCTGTCTTAGAAACTCGAGAGTTTGCTGAAAGCCGATGAGTAGAGTGCAACCGGTGGACATGAGCTCTTCAAATTGAGCAACTCTCGTCATGAATTCGGAGTATATTTTGATAATTTTATCTTTTGGTTCAATATCTCGGTATTCTCCATCTTGCATTGTACACTCAAATCTCATTAAACATGAAATGAGTGGCGAAAAATTATAGGATTGTAGACACTCCGCCTCTATGTAAGAAAGTGGAAGAACAGTGACAGTCAATTAAATACAAAAAAATGATAAATTGAAGAAACAATGACATCAACAAGTGTTAGATCAATAAAACAGAAAATAATTTATCAATTTACAGGAATTCACTCCCTCAGATTATCAATTTATCTCAAACTACCACTTTAAGAATCTTATAGAACAATTTATCCTCTTAGCAGAAACATTTTTCACATTATGAATTCACAAATCGCTTCCCCTTCCACATATGGCCTGTTCAAGAGCTTTGATAAATAATGGTTCTCAATAATAACAAGCGAGAATGATAAAATATGCATTGTCGAAACCAATATAAAATCTTACCAAATCTTAAGCTAAATATGGGCAAATTAGAGCAATAAATGGGAAGTGGCACTCGACCAGGCTCCAAAGGAGAACCTAGAAATTCCGAATGCAGCACAAAGAAGGGAGCAAAACTCGAACCTCCAATTCTTACTATTTCAGACGAATGTAAGAAGAAAATATCCCATTTGAAATAGTGCTTCCTGCCCTTTTAGTGAGAGGAGAGAGAAACTAGAAAGGAATGATCGCCGGCGCTGACAGTGGACCATGAATAGATCGCCAATGGGNTTATGTCAGACTCTTTCTCTCGCGAACAAGGAACCAAAAAAAGCCCCATATCCAGAAACCATTTCTTTCCATTTGTAGCGTGCCTCCTCCCTCCGTGGTGCCGCCGCACACTCTGCTCCCCAGTGAGGATTACCTGACACCGGGGTAGTTTCTATCTTTCCCCTTGGGTTCCATTCCAATCTTTGACGTGATGTTCTCCTTTTATGGGCGGCGTAGTCGGGCTTGGCTGTGAGCTTGAGGGACGAATGGAGCTGCTGACTCTGTTCATTGGTCTCTTATCGGTCGAAATTTGGACTGATTTTTTATTTTCTTTCCTTGGATGTTGTGAGTGTTTCTGGCGTGGGTACGGTGTCCTCTAGTGGTGGCGAATTTATTCTTTGGTAGAAATTGGTTCGGCCGTCGGTGTGTGTTAGGGGAGGAGATGGGTGTCGGCCTCCGGGTGTTGATGTCTGAAGGTGGTCCGTTTGGAAGGAGGTCTCGGTTTGTGTTGATTCAGAGAGAGTTAGCCTTAGCCTGACGAGTTATGAAGTTTGTAGTTCATTGTTTCAGGTTGGGACTGTGATCCTGTCTTTCTTGGATTGTCACAAGTTGTTCTTCTTGCGGAAGAGGGGGAGTGGTGTTGGACGGTTATTGTTTAGGTGTGTGTTGTGGTTATCTTTTGGTTTTTTTTTTCTCTTTTACTTTTTTGTTTGTAGTTCTAGTCTCCCTTGTGAAGTTATTTTATTTCATTTTTGGAGTTCTTTTGTTTTGTAGTTGTTTGCGGTTGTTTGTACTCCCTTAGTTATCTCTGTAATTCTAAGGGGGTGGATCCAATCTTTGTGCTAGTTTTTTGGTGTCCGTTGACACCTCGGGTGTACTCTGTTTTGAGTTTTTTTATTTTTAATATATTTATCGTTTAAGAAAAAAATTGCATAGATTTATGGACTTTCTATGATTCGTAAACTAAATTAAACTTTTTTTTTTTCAAAACGATAGAGAATGTTATAAAAAAACTCAAATAAGAATAATGTTCGAATACAACGGGAAAATCCCGACACCAACAACAAAGAGAAAACTGGGAGGACTTGTCGAACACAACGGTCTAGAGACACTAAACACCATAGATAAGGTAGAGCATTTCTAAAACCTTAGTCTATGTTGCAACCAACAAGACACCAACAAAAAGAGAGAGAAACTCCTAACCACTGTCTCAACGACCTAGTTAGAAGACCCCTCACACCAGACTCGAAACAACACCACAAACAAAATAACACAACAGGTAAAAACAGAAAACACACAAGAAACCACTAGAGAAAGGTCAACACTTCACAACACAAAACTTGAGCCATTCCTTCAATGCAACTTTCACCACAACATGAACTGGTAAACTCTCTTATGAAACAACCACAAATTCTGAGACTTTCAAAGCCACCAAACTATGTATGTTGTCAGTTGAATCCTAGTCTCAACAACCTTAGAATAATCAATGGAGCAAACCTGCCACCACCAAGTTTTAAAAGAATAGCCTTCAGTGCTGATTCCATCCTAGTTAATAGGTCCAATTTCCCACAGCCGTCTAGCTCTTGGACAATGAAAGAAGACATGTTCAATTGTTTCAAAATGTCCCCCACAACCTTGGCAGAGAACATCAATTTTTTATTCCTCTCTTCCTCAAATTTAACTTAACTAGTAAAGTATCAATAAAGCACTTTCAGGTGAAAGTGCTTTATTTCCCCCTTTACTCTGAACTTTCAGGTTCTGCAATTAGCCAATTTATTATGTTTGTTAGACATACTCTGTTATGGGAAGTCTAATTTTTGGACTTTCTGCTCAATCAAGTAAGTGTATGAGGCAGATAGAAAATCTCCCTTTTTTATCCAGCCCCCAAAACCATCCATCAGCTTGACTAGGATTGAAGGAATTTATCTTCAAAATAGTCTTACTGTCCGAATCATCAAAAACATGCTTTACTAACCAATCATTGCAGCAAGCTCCACTCTCATTCATTAAGTCCTTCACCCAAATTAGATGTCCTCTAGAAATCTCAACAAGTTCAGGCTTTTGCTTGGCTAAAGTAGGAACCTAGTTTATATCTTGAATTTTGGTAGACTCTCCATTCCTGATTACTATTCTCAAAACTCTAGCAAACAATGGTTTAATGTATAACCAACTATTCCATGACCAGGATCCACTCTGTTTTTTCTTAGCATCAAAGATAGAAATATTTGGATAATAACTATCGTTTAGAATTTGGTTGACCAACAGACCATGCTGAGTTGTAATTCTTCAGAGCTTCTTACAAACCAGAGCTTCATTAAAGAGTTTAACATCTTGAAAGCCTAGGGCTCCATTACACTTTGGTAGAGTCGGATAGCTCCATGATTTCTAATGGATACCTTGGGTTTTGTTCCTCTCCTTTGCTCCACCAAAACTGAGCACACAAACTTGAAATGGCTTTGCACAAAGAAAAAAGAAGTTTGAACCATGACATAGCAAAATCGATAGAGAATTAAGAACTACTTTAATAAACACTTCCTTATCGATAGAGAATTAAGAACTACTTTAATAAACACTTCCTTACCAGTTGTAGAGAGCAACTTGTTCTTCCAACTTTGCAGTTTAGAACTGATTGTTTCTATGATATAATTAAAAGCTTCCTTTTTAGACCTCCCACTGGACTTGTAAAAAATTAAACTCCATTCTATTTCTAAATTTTACAATTTTCAAGAAATTTTATCTCTCAATTTTACAATTTCTATGAAATTGCAAAAAGTAACGTCACCTTATCTTTTGATTGTATTTGCCTCCCAATGATAGATTTTATAAATTAAAAAACACATAATTCAAATCCTGAAGACAACTAGGACAATCGTCTAAAGCGGCAATACAACCTAATCCAAGGAGAGACTTAATTTCTATGACATTGCAAAAACATCACATTTGGAACGATAGATTTTATAAACTAAAAAATAGATAATTACAATCCTGAAGACAAATAGGGCAACCGACTAAAACGGCTATAAAGCCGAATAAAAGGAGAGGCCTACGCGACAACACTTCAAAAGCCTAGAAACAACTGCACTAAATACACCCACAAGACTGAAGAAAAGCAAAACAAATCTAACTCCCACAAGTGGAGAATGCTAACTCCCACTAGTGGGGAATACTATACCCAAAATAAAGACTAAAACACAACTAAAATAACACAAACACCAACAAACTTAGTAGTGGCCTCAGCTTTATTAGTTCGACTTTCAGATGTGATGAGATCGTCAATCTTACTCGAGAAGACTTAGGGAGAGATCGGAGAGGACCGACTTCTGTCGATCGGGGGATCGACATACCCAACATCGCGTCTTGGGTTGTTTGCGTGTTTTATAGGCGCCCGTTGCGGGGACTGGCTTAGGCCCAACTTCTCCAATCCGTTTCCCCAGATTGCTTAACTAAAGTGTGTTGACCCACTTATTACTGAAGAGCTTCACAAATCCTTGCGCCGTTGTTGAAGCGGGAATTTCTCCGAAGGAACATTTGTCTGGTTTTTTATCTTTAGTGGGTCGTGTCTTGGGAAATGTAGGCATAACAGTTTTATTATGCTTATAATTGACATCTTGTTTGAATATTTTATTATTATAAATATATAGATTGTTTAGTTTTTTTATTTTCAAAATCAAAATAATAAATAAAAATCATTAATATTTTTTATAAGAAATCGACAATATTACAAAAATTAGACTAGATTGTGTTTTATTAGTTCATGTGATTTCATAGGGCTTGGAAGGATATAGAAAAACTATCACATTGTACTTTTTGAGATATATAGACAGATTACTACTATTTATAAATATACTCACATCTTTCACATAAACTAGTGTGTACCCCGTGCGATGCACGAGAACAATATTATACAATATTATAAATAGACCTCGAGTTTGAGTCACTCAATGGCGGAAGTGAAAACTACTATTGATCCTATTTATAAAGAAAAAAAATAATAATTATAAATTAAATAGGAGGATAAACAATACTTAATAATTATAAATAAAGGTTCGGGGTCAAACAATGTAAAACTATTTTGTATAAGAGAATATGAAATTTACATTATTTTGTATAAGAGAATATAAAATTTGTATGTTTAATATTAAAAACACCTAAAATATTAAATTAGTATATGTAAAAGTATTCAAAATTTTCTATATTATTTTTGAAAGATGTGAAGTCACCTACAACTTTTCTAAACAATTTTGGAAGGAAAACATATCTAAAATTATTTGAATTTAACATTGTGTAAAAAAGGTTTTTCTAGACTATTTTGTAAAGAAAACATATCTACAAATATTTAAATTTAACATCAATTATGTATATGTGTATATGTATATATATATATATGTATGTATATGTAGACGAATATGTAAAAAAAATATATCTAAACAATTTGTTTAAAATATCTAAAATATTATAAGTATAATTTAAAAAAGACATTGCATTACGTCCATCTAAAAAAATTGATTACACACCATTATTATTATATTTTTTACGTTGTTATCGAGAATGTAATGTTGCTTATAATATTTGTAAAAATATTAGTAATTAGACCGATGAAAATTAACTTTTTAAAGTAGATAATGAATTTCTAGTAGTAATTATGAATTGTTTTTTTTTTTTTAAATCTTTATAGATAAGAGATGAAATTTTTTAAACTCGTAAGTATGCAATGGGATTTTGTAACAGATAAGAGATAAACTCTAGATTTATGCTATGAGATTTTATAACGCGATTTTCAATACCAAAAAACAGCACAAAGGAAAACAGATTCTAACACAATTAATTTGCGGATTTTGTTGCCTTATCAATATTGTACAACAATTACTATATAGGATACATTTAATATATTTGGCGGGAAAATATTTCTAAAATTGTAAAAAGGTTATTCTTTTTATATAATGATAGATTAGACCATGTCTTTTAATTTGCTTTATTTAATTTAAATAATATAATTTCTAAATATCCTATATTTAAATAATATCTAAGTTAGCTTTTTTAACTTACTAATATAATATATAATTATTATTTAATGTAAATGATATTTAAAACCACTGCAAATATTTTTGATGGATTGACAGTAATTTTTAATAAAAAATCTAAGTACCATTAATTTAATAATTTTACCAATTGACTTTTCCAGTGAAAATTGAAATTTATCCACACTCCCAAGTCAAAATTTCTCAACATAATTGTCATTTTTTATATAAAAATTCTTCAATTGCGTGACTTGTGAAAAAAATGAATAAATCATGTGTGTGTTGTCCATTATTTAATATACAAAAGTAATTTAATATTAAAAAATGATATTTATTTTGATAAAATTATTTAATATTACTTTCCTCTAGCATAATGACAATAAAATATTTTTAGTATTGTAATCTATACTTATATAATAAGAATTAACATTTATCAAAATTAGTAACTTAATTAATGGTCACAGTCAGTTTTGCATTAATTACTTTCCAAAATCGGTAACTCTTATGTCCATTTCACACGCTTTATTAAGTCAGCATTTATTTCCCCAATTCACACACCTCATTAACAGCGTCCTTATCGCATAATTTTTTATGGTAACGAAATAATCCCATTTCACACGCCTCCATCCTTATCACATATTTTTTTATGGTAACGAAATAATCCCATTTCATACGCCTTTTAAACATATTTTTTTAATGATAAATTGAAGAAACAAAAATCGTATTATAAGGAGAAGATATTTGGGATAATTTTAAAATTCAAAAACAAAACACCTTATCAATATTCAAAACTGATATTAAGTTTGTTATTCATTTCATAAAACAAATATACGTGTTGAATTATTATATCTAAAAAACTATACAGAACATACGCATAAAATAGGCAATATAAAATCCACGCCAAAAGGACATTAACACGTTTTTACTTTTTGTAAACAATCTCTACTTACATTAAAATTAAAAATTATATTTCTTCCATTTGCTTGGACTCTTTCAAAAGTTACAATTTTTTTACCGATTAGTTTTCAAAAGTTCACATGGAACAAGATTGCTATTGATTTTCAACCGATTTGAAACTCTCTTTAACAAGGTACTCTCACTAACATATATATATATATATATATATATATATATATATATATATATGTATGTACCCTCATTACCAACATCACCCATTCAACGTATTACAATTATAATCGCATATTGTACAACAAAAAAATCACTCTCTCTGCCATGGATAAAGCATTTGGATTAATCGAAGAAATTAATAGGAGCAAAAGATCTATGCTTAAAGTCCGCATTGTGAGGATGTTTTATCAAGATAAGGGCAGCACATTCAAGTCGCATCTCGAGCTTATTTTGCATGATAGAACGGTAGACATATGATTTCGATTTCATTTCTCACTATTTGTTATTTACGTATCATATAGATTACTTTTACATTTGCCGTTTCAATTTATTTTTGAAGAGAAAACGCATTACAGCTTGACTAAGAGCAGTCTATTTTCTGGGGTTCAAAGAGAAGTCCATTGACGAGGACATGGTCATTCTTATACGAAACTACCAAGTTGATAACAACCTTGGTATGTATAGATCTGCAACTGGCGAGTTTAAGATAATACTACATGGGGGCACTGTATTTATGAAATGCAAAGACACTTTGTCTTTTTCTATGTTTCGATTTCTATTCAGAGACTTTGCAACATTGCAAGATGTCAACAAAATAGACGAGTCAATTCTATTCGGTAATTTTACTTTATACTATTGTGAATATTATGTGAAGTATTTGATTTACTAATTATTTATAAAAAAATCTATATATATATAATAAGAATTACCATTTTTTAAAAATGGAAAGTCAAATTTCAGTCAACATTAATTACCTACCATTCTTAGTAACTTTTTTTTTTCCTAATAATCATATTAACAATATTTTAAAAGAGTGATTAACATGCTTTGTTATATAGATACGTGATTTTCACTTAAAATTGAAATGGTAACAGACTTTGTCCAAAGCCTGTTAATACATTTCAAGTTTTAATAAGAATTATCATGTGAATATGACAACAATGTTTATATATTAATTCATTTCAATTTTTAATATTCCCCAAACTTCAAATAATCATATTAACCATACGTTTATATGACAACATGTTTAATGATTAATGAATATTTATATATCATTTTATTAATATTTATGTGAATAAAATAATATTTTATTATATTTTTTATTAATGTACAGTGAATATGGTTTTCAGAATCGAACCATCATCGAAACGATCAAATTATTCTATTAAATTATTTGTAATTTATTCAGATTTTAATTTATAAATATTTTAATATCAATATATATACATTTATATATATATATATATATATAGAGAGAGAGAGAGAGAGAGAGAGGGAGAGTACTTTTTGTAATAAATTTTTAATAAAATGTGTTACTTAAATATCTAAACAATTTATAAATTCAAATGTTAAAACTAATTGATAAACAATTTATAAATCTCTATTTTATTTAAATATGTAATTTTATTTAAAATAATTTTAAATGTAACAAAATTTATTTAGAAAATCGTAACGATCCTACCAGTCCAACTGACTGATGTTGACGGATTCAATAGTAAATATTTTATTCAAGCGAACTACACTGTTTATAACCCGGTTCTCGGTCCATCCGGTCGGACTGTGTCCAACCTGATTTAATTTAAAAACAATGGGTAAATCATAATTAATAATATTATATATTTAATTTATAATATAATCGTAATATTATTTTTCCGTGCATCGCACGGGCCACGCACTAGTTCAATGTATATGCGTACTAATAGTAAAAAGTATAAAGGATAAAAAAAATGTATATTAATCAATTTAAACTCTAAGACTATCCTTATCGGTGACCCGTTAGGTTGGGTCACCAGGAAAAGGACCAAAAAAACAGAAAAAAAAAATCAAAAAAAAAAATAAAGGAGCAGCAGATTAGGCGACCCAGGTCAGATTGTGACCTTGGGTCGCAACCGGTCCTTTCCACCTTCCTAGCTCTATTTTATATCCTTTCCCACCTTCCCACGCTCTTTCCTATTTTTTTTAATTTTTTTTTTCATTCTTTTTGGATAAAGGGAGAGAGAATTGGGACACTTGTCCCATTTCAATTGGGCACTATTAATTTTATATGATTAGATAAGTATAACTCAAATTATTGATATTATTTTATATCAAAAAATAAAATAAAAAATATCAAAATTTGTATTGTTTCATTCTCTACAAATAGAGACCACTCTTGATATGTTTTTGAACACAATTGAAATTATTATATTGGGTTGGATTATAGATAAAACAATACCAAAAAATGTATTGTAAATAATATTTAATAAATAAATAAAAATAAATAAATATTATGTTGGATTGGGTTGGGTTGGGTTGGGTTGGGAATAAAAATATGTAGGTTGTTATAAGTTGAGTTGTATAGGTAGAAGATAGAGAAATAATTTTTTATTATTGAGTTGAGTTGGGTTGGGTTGGGTTGGGTTGAGAATAAAGATAGTCTAACAAACTTTGCACTCATCTCGTCCCAACCGGAGTCATCCTTTTGAAAACTTCAAACTCCTCCAAATAAGTAGCCGAATTATCACACCACCAATCATAACAATCCCATCACACAAAAACTCATATCATCACACTAATCTCTCAATCATCACTTAAAAGAAACAAATCATCACAAAATTAATAAAAAATCGAATCGAAACTAAAAAACAAGAGAAAAATAAAAGAGAATCAGAATTTAATATTTATTACTCTCTCCATCAAATGGAAACAAGATCCGCCAAGCGAAGGAGAAAACAGCTCCAGACGGCGGCGGTGGCCACCAATACGCCGCTGAGATCCTACCGTTCGGACCTCATCAGCAACCTCCCCGACGACGTCATCCACCAGATCCTCTCCCACCTCCCTATCAAATCCATCGCCCAAACCAGCTCACTCTCCCGACGCTGGAGATCCCTATGGCACTCCTTCCCCGACCTCGATTTCACCACAATCGCCGGCGCCAAATGCGACCTTCTCCCCAAATCCTCCCTCGCATCCACCTCGCCGTCGAAGCACGGCCGTCGATCCCGGGCCCACCCGACCCAGGACCCTTCCCGGACGGACCAGATCTCGGCCCTCCTTGAAAAGCGCAACGCCGACGTCCGAGTCCTCAAACTCCGGGACTCCGTGAGCTTCACGCGCCTCTCGGTCATGATCCGCCACGCCGTCCGGCGCAACGTGCGTGAGCTCGACCTTGAGGTCTCCACCTGCGACTACTTCAATTTCCCCCGCGCCCTCGCGAACAGCTCCACCCTGAAGTCCCTGCGCCTCAAATCCTGGCACCCGGGCTTCCGGCTGCCTCCTTTAGAGACCATGAGGGACGGCTTCAGATCTCTCACCGTCCTCTCCCTGGTGAGGCCCGTCCTTCGCGACAGCCCCTCGCTCGTCGATCTCTTCACGCGCTCGTCTTTCCCCTTTCTGAAGAAGCTGCACCTCGAGTCCTGTTTCGAGATGAGGCAGCTGAGGGTCGAGTGCCGGGGGCTAGAGGATCTGACCATCGAGCGCTGCTTGCAGCTTCAGGATTTGGAAATCCGTGCGGAGAGGCTGGAGAGGCTCAGGGTGACGAGCTGTTTCGAGTCTCACGGGCTCGGGAGTAGGGTAGGGGTGGAGGCCCCAAGGCTGGGGCTCCTTGTGTGGACTTGCAATGCAGTCACTGATGAGTGTGTGCTGACTGGGCTGGGCTCGCTGCACGAAGCGTTTGTCGGGTTCTTCAGGGAAGATCCGGCGGATTTGGGTGAGAGGAAGGCCGAGAGCGTGTGGAAGTTTCTGAAAGGGATCTCTTGCTGCTGCTCGTTGACGCTCGAGAGCCAGTGTGTCGAGGTATTGTTTTTTTCGAGTTGTTTTCAGGGGAGCTGTGTTTTTTGTTTATTGCTGCTTGGTAAGTTTGAAGTAAATAGGGAATAAGGATGTTTGGGAACAGAAACTATTTGTTGAAAGGGATAGTTTTTTGGTGAGTAAATGTGAAAGGGTCTCATTACATACATAATTACATGCATGGCATGCATATGAGTGTATTTTTTAAATATTTTTTTTTGCTACAGTTGACAATGAAAACAGTAAGTACTATATGGGATTTGACATTTTTTGGAAATTGGAGTCTGTTTCTCACTTCTGTTTGTCTAGAGTTGCAGTATATCCAATTCATAACTTGATTGTTATCTGATTACGTGCATTTTTTTCTTGCTTATTGGATTACATAGTTCCTGCTTGATGACTACTTCCTAACTGCTTCTTGTCTACAGATTATATCAAGAAACAATCGGTTTGCAGGCATTTCACTGTGCCCTTTTAACGAGCTAAAGTCTCTCGAGTTAAGCACGTGTTTTAACAAACACAATAATCCCGGGTTAGCAAGCCTTTTCAGAAGTTCCCCCAACGTGCACACCGTTGTTATCAAGATTATTAGTATTCGAAATTCTAAACGACGAGTAAGTAAATTTTCAATTATTCATTTGTGTGGTTTCGCTTTTTCCTCGGCATGGATCTTTATAAATATCAGCATTTATCAATCTGCTGTATCGATTAACAAGTTCTAAAAGATATCTATTGTCTTTTGACCTTTGCAGCAATGGCACAAGGACCTGTGGCAATCCCCGAGCTCTGGGGAAGAAAGATATTGGGAGTCACAAGCTCAATATTTGAAGCCTTTTCTTCATAACTTGAAGGTTGTAAAAATTCACGGCTTCACGGAGTGCGCAACCGAAGTTAGTCTCGTGAAGTTTTTACTGATGCATGGCAAAGTACTGCAGGAACTTTTTCTGTGGACGAGCCTGTCAAGGCCGAGAGACTCCCTTCTGCGCGAGAAAATCAAGTCGCAGATCATGGGCTTTTCGAGGGCTTCTTCAAATGCTAACATTGTTTTTGAGTAGTTGAGTCTTAATTCAGTTTTTTAGTTTTACTGGAACCGACTAATGGACAATCAAATAATATCTGGTTTTAGAATAAAGTATCCGATTAATGCACCATAGCCTGTAAATTGGAAAATCAGAAGAAATTTTGAACTTCGTCTATACATCACCATGCATCTTCAATATACAATCATTCGGATTTTTGTCCAAAGGCTTTATTCATTTACTCACAGGACAATGATGGAAGTACATGAAACAACAAAAGCTTTTATTCTACTGTGCGAGATCTTCTACTTCTGCCAAAAGCCGTAGTTTTAATCTAATTATATTTTGATATGGGATAGGGAATAAACCGGTCGACTAAACCAAGTGAGCCATTCGGTCGAGCAGAACCACACCAGGGCTGGTGGTGGTCGAATGTCATCAACTTACGACAAAGAGCCTTCGAGCGAGCTGGAAGACAAGATGAGGGGTACGGGCAGCACGTCGAGCTAGGGCACTCGGATGACCCGCTAGAAACTCGACTTTTAGGCACGGTTGGTCGTGTGGTCAACCAGAGAAACAACACTTAATCCAAGACAGTCAATACTCTACTTGAGCGGACCTCAAGCTGGTCGAATTATTAAGTGGCCTAATACAATGGATTAAGGCATAAGAAGGAATATTGCCATAATTAGTGCCACATGTGGCATTACCTGAGTGGTCTGCACTCTGCAACCACCTCTGACAGTGGATAGTGCGGGTTGTACTATCAGACAGCTCGGGCAACTTGGGCAGCCAACTCACCACATCCAGGTAGCCTTCTAGAAGTAGGTACCTCACTCTTATATGTAGGGATGAGACGTGCATCACATATATATTGTATATATTTTCTGCACTTTATCATCTTCTCTATAGGTACTCATTTAAGCATCGGAGACTCTTCACTGGAAATCTCCTTCGGTGTGAGAGTTTTTGCAAGTCTAAAGGCATTCAACCGGCGGAGAAGCTCAAGAGCAGGTCGATTTTAGCCGGTCAAGAGTCTTTACATACCATTTGGCGCTGTCTGTGAGACTTTCGTTCGAAAAGCTTGTGTTCACCATAGCCATGGCAGGCGAGATCCCAAGGAAGAATATAGAGACAACCTTCGATGATGCGTGGACGACCACGCGGCCGTTTGGAGCTGGCTATCCACTGGGCTTCTCTAGACCTTCCCAGACTCCGATGACCCCAATGCCTCCTTCTCAAGGCTTAGGGAGCAGTTGGCTCAACCTGAGCTGAAGAAGGAAAGAGCTAACTCACCCAGGAGGGACAAACAGAACATGTCGGAGAGGGGCAGAGAGGATCGATGGAATGATCGACTTCTTCAGGATGGTCAAAGATATACCAAGTACACCCCGTTGAAGACACATGTGACAGAGGTGCTCAAAACGATTGAGAGGAAATTGGATGGTCGAGACTTCACTTGGCTGAATTCGCGAAAAGAAGGACCTACTCAACCCAAATCAGGTCGATATTGCAGGTTCCACGAGGATTACGGTCATACCACGAAAAATTGCAGATATTTAAAGATGAGATCGAGCACTTGATTAGGGTTGGACACTTGAAGGAATCTGTATATCATGACAGGCCGAAGAGAAAGGAAAAGAGGAGGTATAGGGAGGATTCTGTTGAAAGGAGTGATAGAGGTTAGGATGGGGATAGAGAGGATGAAGAAGGACGAAATGGTTGACGGGGAGAAGAAAATAAGCGTACGAGAGTGGAAGGGGGTCGAGAAGGCCAAGAGAACGTGGTCCTAGTTAAAAGAGGCACTATTTATATGGTTTATGAAGGACCAACTGATGGTGACTCAAATATATAATGCCAGGAAGGAGCATGCTCGAACGGCCAAAAGGAAGAGAGAAGAGGTTGGAATTACGGCTCAAATGTCCGTGATCAGCTTTCGAGCTGAAGATGCGGAAGGGGTTCTTGTGCCCCGGAATGATGCCTTGGTCATAACGGCTGAGGTGGCAGGTATGATGTAAAGCGAGTATTCATGGACACGGGCAGCTCGATTGACGTGATGTTCTATGATTGCCAGATAGCTCGATTTAAATTTAGAGTTGAAGAAGGTCATGACTTTCTTGTATGGGTTCAATGGAAGTGAGGTGGTTCCAATGGGAGAAATTACTCTACCCGTTGCTCTGGGGTTGGGGGCGATGAGAACGGGGTTAGGGGCGACGAGAAAAGTGAAGATGGTTCGATTTGTTGTGGTTGGTGTCGAGTCGTCATATAACATTATCTTGGGGAGGACCAGCCTGAATGCATTCCAGACGGTGGTTTCAACCTATCACATGACGATCAAGTATCCTGTTGTAGAGAATGTTGGGGAAATTGCTGGTGACCAGTTGACTTCGAGGAGCTGATATCAGGCAAAGGTGGGCACGAAATGGCGAAATGCAAGGAGACAAGTTATACTGAAGAAAAAGGTGGTAGATCGACCAAACGGTTCTAGGTCAAAGGAAGACATGCTTAAGCTCAACAAGGGAAAAGGAAATGTAGATATCCAATCTAGGGGTGAGATTGAGGAGATCGATCCAGATGGTGGAAGGGTGTGACGAGAGAAAATTTTGGATTGGCAGGGACTTGAAGGAGCCATTGAGTTTGCGGCTTATTAGGTTTATAAGGGAGTTTGCTGACATCTTTTCTTACACAGGTGAGGAGCTCATTAGAATCAATGCAAGAATCATTGACACAGGTTGAATAACGATCTTAGTGTTTGACCTGTGCGCCAAAAGCAGAGGTACCACGGAGCAGAAATGGACAAAATCATAAAGCAGAAGGTCGACAAGCTGCTCAGGGCTAGGCATGTGGTTGAAATTCAGTTCCCTTAGTGGCTGTCGAACACGATCATGGTGTTTAAGTCCGAAGACAAATGGAGGATGTGCATAGATTTTAGGGATTTGAATAAGGCGTCCCCGAAAGACTTATACCCACTGCTGATGATAGACCATCTGGTGGACTCCACGACATGGTGTGAGCTCCTCATCTTGATGGATGCCTCGCAAGATTATCTTCAAATCCCATTGGCAAAGGAGGACCGAAAAAGAATGAGTTTTGTGACGAGTTAGGGGACATATTGTTATGTGGTTATGCCCTTTGGTTTGAAGAATGTAAGAGCCATGTACCAGAAATTGGTCGATAAAATTTTCAGGGAGCAGTTAGGTTGGAACATGGAGGTCTACGTCGATGACATGCTGGTAAAGAGTAAGGTGTAGAAGGACCATTTGGCCGATCTGATGGAAACATTCACTACACTACGAAAATATGGTATGAAGCTCAATCCGGCTAAGTGCTCATTTAGGGTGAAATCAGGCAAGTTTTTCGAGTACATGGTGACCAAAAAGGGGATCGAGGTGAACCCCGAGTGATATAGGATATTATACTGGACCGGTTTTAATGGATAAAAAGGGAATATATTAAAGAATAAGCCTACACATGGCTAGGACACGTGGCATGAGGCTATTGGGCAAGCCCAACTTGGGCCATAAGGTACACTCCCCCTATAAAAGGGGGCTAAGGTATCCCATTCTCTCATTCTCTCTACATTCATTACTATACATTTTGGATTTGGAGTCTTGAGGTGATTCTGACTTGAGCGTCGGAGGCTCGACGTCGGGACCCCTCCCGGCGTTGGGTTCTTGCAGGTATGGAGGCCGACCGAGTCGAGCCCGAGTGAAATCTTATTCACTTCACCGAGAAAGTGCGAGCTATTTGGAGATGCAACCCTCGAAGAGTGTGAAGGAGGTGCCTGCTAACCTAATACAAGATCCACTATAAATTATATAGACATTTTGTGATATAACATGAAATTTTTAGACAATCTAATATGAATTGGTGCGAGAAAATGATCAATACAAAGTCAAAATGGATTATACTTTTATCTTTCGTTTGTGAATACCCCATAAAAAGAGATGGTAAGATGAACGAAAAGCGTTGAATCGACATATGTGAAACTTGATATTTTTAATGTGAAATTGCTCTAAGAAAATATTGTTGGTTTATGACAAGTGCTTCCAAAACACAATGAAATCGATTTGTGTACGGATATAGTATGGATAGGTCGGTCTCAGACTGGAGTTCCCTCAGCTCGAGTTGGGTCGAGCGGGTTTGTCAGGTTGATCAAGTCGGTTATGTCGAGTAGGCCTCCTAGAACGTTATGTCGAGTTATTGACCTAAGGACCTACATGGTGTGAAGATCTAGACAATCAAGCTAGTGTAGTGGGGTACTAGAACTATTCTGCAAAAAGACTTTGAGTCAACTTGAACAAGATAAGATATTCTTAGAAATGAGATAAGGTATTCTTGGGAAACAAAGTAAATATTTTCATATATAATGTTCTGGTCCCCTTTTGGTTCTAATTAGTCATAATCACGCACACTCTTCCATATTCAAAAGAAACTGACTTGATCGTCAGAGGGTCTACGTCGGGAAAAACCCGACGCCTTTTCAGGTATTCCGGTGAGCAAGCCAAACCAATTTAAAGATCCAAAGAAGACTGATAACATGATACAAGAGTTATTTGGTAGATCTCTTTCATGTACAATGGTATTACAGATATACAAGTTTGCGACAAACAATACTAAAATTAGAAGAAAAAAAACCAATAAATACACTATATAAATATATGATCTTTGAAAAGTAGATGCAAGCCCTTAAAATGCAACTAAAAATGGTTGACCATTTCATAGGATATTTTTAGATGTGCACTTCCAAATGGTTTCTTTTTGGACTTGTCCGGCTAAAAACAGACATCGGCCCAATCGTCACTTATATGCAACCAGCAGCAAACAACATCACAACATGATCGCGACACACAAATGAAGGATTGTCACGACACGAATGTTGTCACACGAGCTAGCAAGACAATAAGTCTCGATGCTCCGCTACTCGAGCCATCGTCCGAATAAAACGGCTTTCAAGTCCAACTAATTTTTGAGATAATTAAGCTCAATAATTTTTACATCTTATTTTTTTTCCTGAAATTATTCTTGTTTCACTTTAAAATTATTTTACGAAATTATTACATTTTCTATTTATGTTAAAATAAAATTTGTATGTAACTAATTTTACTTACATTGGTAAAGTCAACTAACCTCACCCACCGGCAACGTTGGAGGTAGATTCCTCATGTTTGTATTATTTTGACATTGTTCTACCCCTATGAACGAGGGAGAGAGTGTCTGAAAAAGAAAACACAGGACGTGTGAGTTCTTATCTCACCAATGTGCTTAACCTAACGTTTCCAGTCAAAGATCTCAAGAGTTTTTACAAGATTCTTGAGACCTGAATCCAATGGATTCTCAGCCAGAAATGAAAAAATCCACTTAAGATGACACACCCTCTTGCTCTTAACATAATCGGTTTATGCTAATTCAACCAAGATCCCATTTTTACCTCAAAGTTGACTTTTTGCCATTCTGCGCCCCTTTACAAATCTGAAGTTGGTTCCATCTAAATGCCCATTCATAGCATCTCCTAGCTAGATTCCATATGATGGGTGCTGAAGAAAAACTCCCAATACAAGACGATGAAGTTCAAGACAGTCAGCAGCCAAAGAATGGGATTTGGAGCTCTTTTTTGGCTCCAATCTACTGGTTAAGAATGCTCGCAAAGGAATTACATTGGAGTTTTGTGTTTGGGGTAGTAATTGTGTACGGAATGAGCCAAGGACTTGGTGGTTCTCTTTCGAGGGTTGGGACAGAGTATTATATGAAGGATGTTCAAAAAGTGCAGCCTTCTGAGGCTCAGGTTTACACTGGGATTACTTCTATACCTTGGATAGTGAAGCCTATATGGGGCCTTCTAACTGATGTTGTCCCAATTGCTGGGTATTATCGGAGGCCTTATTTCGTGTTCGCTGGTAAAGAAAATGATTGATGAGTTTAACTGTGCTTTTTAGTTGGGATTTCCATTTTGATAGACCCTTTTTATTGCCTCTTGTGAAACTTGACTTGACTAGTTTGGGGTTTTGGTTTCTGGTATAATTTCCAATGCTGCTGTTCATCTGATGGTATTTGCTTTTGTGGTTTATTTATTTTTATTTATTTGGCTGTTTTAGGTGATAACCATTTTATGTTTGGTTAGTGATACTTGCGACGGAATAGTTTCTGTTGATGGCATCTAACTTTTATGTTCTGGAGTTATATTCACCCTTAAGAGTGTTTGCTTTCTCTAAAAATGATTCTAAATTTATGGTAAAAAGCTTGAGTGCATTCAAACTCCAATCTCTGCTCCTTGTTCTGCATTATTTAGACTCTAAAAGTAGGGTGAGATGCGCTTTAGATTTTCGGTTTGTGGACGTTTTCATACAATATAGTTACTTTAACCTCATTATTGAAGCAGATTTTGTAAAACCACAATGGCTTGCAAACACTCCCTTTAAGTCGGGGACAAAACTTATCACACTTTCGATTCCTTGAAATTTAGCACCCCATATTTAAAAATACACGAGGTACAGATTTGAAGAATTAAAGAGCCCTTAGAATGTTTTATGATTGGCAAAACATCACCACACGTGCTTCTTGTTCAGCAAACAATTCGTTCCGAGTAATTCAAAAGGAAGAAAAAGAAAAAATTCTGTGATTTTTTCTTTTCCTTTTGCAGGTTCCCTTGGGGTCATTGCAATGCTTTTTATATCACTGCATAAGGGTCTCCATATAGTACTGGCCTTACTTGCGCTGACATCAGCAAGTGCCAGCGTGGCGATTGCTGATGTCACCGTCGACGCCTGCGTGGCACAGAAAAGCGGCGTTCATTCTGCATTAGCAGCTGACATGCAGAGCCTGTGTGCTTTGAGCTCGTCAATTGGGTCGCTCGTGGGATTCGCCATTAGTGGTATCTTAGTTTACTTAATCGGTCCCCAGGTTAGTGTAAAATACACAACCTCTCATTCCATTATCAGAAAAAAAAAAAATAAATAAATAAAATGTAAGCTTTTCGAAGCTGTAATTTGTTTGATGAAACTTATATTTCCTTTTGAATTGATGAAGGGTGTGTATGGCTTGTTGACTATACCAGCTGGGCTCGTGTTGATAGTTGGTGTTTTGCTCAAGGAGCCTCGGGCATCCAGCTTTGCTTATGAACAGGTACTCACATTTTTTCTATTCTTTAATCATGAAAATGACCTATGGAATTTAATTTTAAAACAAAAAATAAAATAAAATAAATCAATCTTTAGTGAAAGCAAAAGTTAAGTATGGTTTTCTTGAATCAGATAAACCAGAGCTTTTTGAATGCCGGCAAATCTATGTGGAAGACATTGAAATGCCCGGAAGTGTGGAGACCGTGTCTGTACATGTACTTGTCATTTTCGTTGAATCTAAACATCTCTGAAGGGATGTTCTATTGGGCGACAGATTCCAAAACCGGACCCATGTTTTCTAAGGTACAACCCCCTTAAAGCCTCGACTTTTTTGATTCCAATCAAAACATTTTATTTTTTTTTTAATTTTTTTTTCCCAAACACAGGAAATAATTGGCTACATCATGGCAGTTGGCTCCATAGGTTCCCTCCTAGGGGCCATCCTGTACCAATACGGGCTAAAGGACTACCCTTTCCGGAACCTTCTTCTGTGGGCCCAGCTGCTTTCCTGCCTTTCAGGCCTGCTCGACCTTGCGCTGGTCCTCCGTTGGAACCTGAGGCTCGGCATACCGGATCATTTCTTCGTGGTGGTCGATTCTGTTGTGTCACAGCTGATCGGTCGACTCAAGTGGATGCCGCTGCTAGTCTTGAGCTCCAAGCTTTGCCCGCGTGGCATTGAGGGCACGTTTTTCGCCCTCCTAATGTCGATCGACAATTCGGGCCTGCTGACGTCATCGTGGTTGGGAGGGCTGCTGCTGCACGTGCTGGGCGTGACGAGGACGAGGTTCGGGAATCTTTGGGTGGCGGTTTTGGTGAGGAATTTGATGAGAGTTAGCCCGCTTTTTTTCCTGTTTTTGGTCCCGAGAGTGGAGGCTGCGGGCCCGGTTATCGAGGCGGAGGAGGATATCGAGCTTGAGGCGCTTGTGGAGAGTAGGGAAGGGTGAGTTTTTGTGGACCTC